CAAAAAAAATAGGAAGTAAGTATTGGCAAGGATGTAAAGGATCTGGAGCCCTTGCACATTGTTGGTGGACAAGTAGACTGCTATGGTTGCTATGGAAACAACTTGGCAGTTACTCAAAAGTTACATGTAGGACTAGTCCCTCATAGCAGATCCCACATGGCAAATCCCAGTTCAAATCCCAGTCCTAGATGAATAAAAAACATGCCAAACATATGTGCATGAGTGGCCAAAATCCTAATGGGATGCATCGAAAATGGAAGAAAGGGATTTTGGCATGACCTGCTCTACTGGAAGTTTTACTGTCTCTCTCTTTCCTTCTCTCTCTCTCGCTCTCTCTCTCTCTCTCTCTCTTTCCTTCTCTCTCAGCCACTGGCAATTAAAAAAAAAAAGTTAAATGTAGTATGACTCACCAATTTTACTTCTAGGTATAGACCCAAAGAATAGAAAATCAGTACTTGCATGCTAATGTTCATAGCAGCATTATCCAAATAGCCAAAAGGTCAAATCAACCCAAATGTTCATGAACTGAATGGATAGTCATACATGTAATGGATACTTTTAATGAAATATTATTCAGCCTTAGAATAAGTGAGGTTCTGATACATGCTACACCAGGGATGAATCTTGGAAACATTTCTCAGTAAAATAAGCCAGATGCAAAAGAATAAATTCTGGATGATTCCACTTACTTAGAATAAGCGAATTCATTGAAACAGAAAATACATTAGCAGGTACCAGGGACTGTGGTGAGGACAGAATGAGACGTTACTGGTTACTAGGTTCAGAGTTTCTGTTTGAGGTGATGAAAATTTTGGAAGCAGAGGTTACGGTTATACAATATTATGACTGTAAAGCCACCAAATGGTACTATTAGCTAAATAGCAAATTTATGTTATGTATATTTTACAAGGAAAATTGCAAAAATAAAAAAGGTGCAAAAGAGAGAACATGGTAAACATTTGTGTATGCATTTGATAAAGAAGTGCTTGACAAGCACATAAACTGGGGCCAGCAAGTGGTGTGGTGGCTAAGACACTGTACTCCCACATGACCGACCGTAGTTCGAGTCCCACACCTGACTGCTTGAAACTCATGGCAGGTGAGTGTGTAAATGTGACCAAAATCCCTAGAGGAGAATAGAGGAGAAGGGACTGCACCAGGGGTGATTTCTCACTATCTCTGTCTCTTTAGTGAGTGCACATGCTGTACAGCAAAAACTCCTTTAAAAAATACCTAAGAAATTAACATGGGTGGTTATTTATAGTTAACATGAATATGTAGCCTACACATTTATGAGGTTATGTGTAGGGAGTGGCTAGATCTTGGTAAAAACTAGTAACCTTTAAAGCAGGCATGGTCTTGGTGCTGACACTGCAGGAAAAGAAAAAGCTCTAATAAAGACATGATCTGCACCCAGGGCAGTGTAGGTGGAAGGAAGCTGTGTACCAGCCAGAGAAGGCAGGAGACACTTATCTAGAATCACAGCATGCAAGATGCTCCACAGCTGATGGAATCAATAATAGACAATACCTGGCTCTGCTGTAAAAAGAATAAACCTGAGCATTCTACAGCAGAGACACCCAGTCTGCCCGATCCCTGCTTTCTCTACTTGTCAGTCTGTTCTGTCTCAATCCATCAGCTGCTCCCACTCAGGTTCGCCTACCACCTGCTCCCACTTAAGGTTCGTTTTGTTGGGCCAGGGCAGTTATAGTTAGACTTAACGGGGTTGTTCTGGTTAAAGTATAGAAACACTTCTGTCCTGGTTGTTAAATGGCCACTCCTCAACTCCCTAAATTTTCTTCACCTCTGCTCTCATCCCAGGATACCTGACTGCCCCCACCCAGAAAGTAGTTAATCCTGGTAGGGCAGGGGTCTGCCAGGCCAGTGAAGAATAACAGGTTGGAAGAGATTATGCATACTAAATCTTTTAATATCTTTGTGATTTCTGAATCATGTAAACACATTTATGATACTAAAATTTAAAAGCCGGGAGAAAAAGAAAGTTAAGGGAATCTAAGCCAAACACATGTCTGCATTTAAACCATATGGGCACCAACAACAGAGCTCAGAGAAATGCAAGGCCTGCATAGAGGTTTAAAGACAGTGGAGTATGAGTGGGGTGGGGGAACAACAGATTAAGTAATTAAAAAGGTAAATTTGAGGCCAGCAGTTAGTGCAGTAATTAAGGCACTAGATTCCCACATGGCTGACTCTGGCTTGAGTCCTGGACCTGGCTTGAAAATCAGTCCATGTATGTGTGTATGCCTAAAATCCCAAGAAGAGAAAGGGATTATGACGTGGCCATCCCTGCTAGGGGTTTATTTCTCACTTTCCAATTCCCCTCTGCCTGTCAAGTGCACATACCCTGTTGCAAAAAAATAATAATAATAATAAAACAAAATAAAATTTAAAAAAAGGAGTTAAATTTGGATCCAATATTACACAATCTCTCTGTGGAATTATTTCTATAATAGCAGTAAACCACTTAGAGTTGTTACATTTTGTTCTTAATTGTGAAATGACTAAAACAAATTACATATTAAGAAAAGGTAATTCTTGGAGCCAGCATGTGGTGTGGTGGTTAAGGTGCTGAACTCCCACGTGGTCAGCCACAGCTAGTGTCCTGAACCTGGTGGCTTGCTTTCTCACTTTCCCTCTCTTTCTCTGTGTTGTGTCTCTCTCTGGCCAGATTTTTAAAATAATAGTAACAATAAAATTAAAATGTAATAAATATTTTTTAAAAATATAATTCGTTTTTTTTTGGAGAGGTTTTTGCTATAGGGTGTGTGCACTCGCCAGACAGAGAGACAGAGAGACAGAAAGTGAGAAATCACTCCCCAGGGGGGATGGCCACACCGCAATCCCTTCTCCTTCATTCTCCTCTCAGGATTTTGGGCACGCATGCACACGTGCCCGGCGTGAGTTTTAAGCCACCGGGTCCAGGACTCGAACTGCGGTCGACTACATGGGAGTCCAGCGAGATAGCCATTATGCTAACTGCTGGTCCCTAAAAAATATAATTCTGAATGTAGTGAAGAGGAAAGTAGGAATGGGAAGGCAAAGATGATGAGGAAAGTGATGAAATGGAACTCAGTCATGGTCAGAATGTACTGAAGAGGAGAGATTTAACAGTCTTGAAAAACAGTTTGGGGTTGAGTTAAAAAAAGAAGACAGAGAAGATGACTAAGATTTCTAGCTTGGTAGACTAAAAAGGTACAATATGACCTATAATGGGGGGACTCTAAAAGGAAAATTCTCGCTTTTGATTATGTAAGGTGTAAATATACAGATGTCAAAGGTAAAATATGACACAGTATGGATTTCAAAAAAATTATTATAAAAACGGTAATGATTTTTTCCATTTTATTTAGAAATAACTTACTAGGAGGAAATATGCTAAATTTTATAGGCAAAAAGTATCTTTATACATAAATGAAGTTTTAACTGAAAAGGTAATATTGGAAAATGACACAAAGATTCTTCTGTGCTGATTCTTGCAAAAGAATTTATTTTTTCACTGAAGTAATTCATGTTAGACATGAAGAAAAATGACCTTCAGATAATTCCACTAATTCTAGAGTTTTTAACATTTTTTGTTTTTCTTTTTTGAGAAGTTTTTGCTATAGGACGCATATACTTGCCAGAAAGATGGAGAGACAGAGACAGAAAGCAAGAAATCCCCCCCCCCCCGGGGGGATGGCCACACCACAATCCCTCCATTCTCCTCTCGGGATCTTGGGCATGCACGCACACGTGCCCGGTATGAGTGTAAGCCACTGGGTCTGGGACTCAAACCGCAGTCCACTGGGTCTGGGACTCAACCCGCAGTCAACTACATGGGAGTTCAGCGACACAGCCATTACGCCAACTGCTGGTACCGAGTTTTCTATCTTCATAGAGAAAATTAGTAATAAGTTCAGTATGTCAGAATGCCAACTAATATTTTTCCCCAAATACGTTTTTTAGGTTTTTTTTTTTTTTTTTTTTTTTTTTTTTTTTTTGGTTTTTTTTTTTAGGGAGTTTCTGCTGTTTTTGCTATAGGGCACTTGCGCTCGCCAAACAGAGACAGACAGAGAGACAGAAAGCGAGAAATCATCCCCCAGGGGGGATGGCCACGCCACAATCCCTTCTCCTCCGTTCTCCTCTCGGGATCTTGGGCACACATGCACATGTGCCTGGCATGAATTTTAAGCCACCAGGCCCGGGACGCAAACCACGGTTGACTACATGGGAGTCGAGTGACATAGCCATTATGCTAACTGCTAGTCCCCCCAAATATGTTTTTGAAATACTATGGTATTACTCAGAGCATGATACTGTTTCCTCAGCATGGAAGTGAGGATGAACAAGAGACTTCATAAAATATTCATAACCTAAATGGCATTTTATGTCATTTGTTCAAGCATTCTTCCTTCAATTCTCTGTCTTACTTCCACTTCTATTCTTCCCCCCAACAGCTAAACTTTTCAAGGAGTATTCTATATTCACATTCTTTACATCCTTTCATTTATTCTTCAATCTACATTGCCTTCCTACTCGATTTCTGTAAGTGAACTTGCTACTGCTGAAGTCAACAGTATCCAACACATGAACAAGTCATTTTTATATGACCTCCCTGATGTATTGCTATATTCAGGAAACCCATTCTTCTTGAACTATGCTTTTTCCTTGGTCTCTATGACAACATACTTTCCTGGTTTCCTTTAGTCTTCTATGATAATTTTTTTCTCAACCATTTTTTTTTTCTGAGTTCATTCTCCTCTACCCAGCCATTAATTGTTGGCATTTCTTTTTTCTTTTTTTTTGGAGAGGTTTTTGCTATAGGGTGCGTGTGCTCGCCAGAAAGACAGAGAGAGACAGAAAGACAGAGAGAAACCACCCCCCCAGGGGTGATGGCCACACTGCAATCTTTTCTCCTCCATTCTCCTCTCAGGATTTTAGGCACGCACACACACGCGCCTGGTATGAGTTTAAGCCACCAGGTCCTGGACTCGAACCATGGTCAACTACATGGGAGTCCAGTGATACAGCCATTATGCAAACTGCTGGTTCCAGTTGTTGGCATTTCTCATGTGCTGCTACTACCGCTGCTTTTATTCTCAACCTACTCTCTCCCAGAAGCACTCACTACATCTATGGCTTCAATTTCCAACTACAGGTCAATGATTTCTTCACCTGCTCCCCTTTATTTCAAACCTTCAAGATAAACAATACAAATTGCCAATGTTTCCTCACTTTCAATGTGGATGTCCCAAATACACCTCAGTTTACTCTTATCCAAATCACAGTCTTGATCATTCTATGAAACATGACCCTCTTCAAGTTTTCGTATTAATTTTCACTCATGTAGGTACCCAAGTCAGAATCATAGCATTTTTAATACGTACCTTTTATTAAACTCCATAGCCATTTCATTACCAAAGACAGTAAATTATTACTCCCCAAGTATCACTTACATCTTTGTACATCTTTCTTTCTACGGTCAACAACCTAGTCCAAACTACTAATATCTCTCCCCTGGATTGTTGTCAAGTTTCATTAAGCATTCCAGTTACTACACTGCTTTCTATAACCTGAGAAATAAATTTGGATTAAAAAGTTCTTAGCCCTCGATTTGTTAAGAACGCATAGACAATCTTAAGTTAGTTTCCAAGTGACTGTAGATGATGGTAATTACTCAAATACACAATAGGAACATCTGTCCACATTCCACATAATCACTGAAAATCTGCCTCACTAAAGTAAACCTCTTTAGAAGTGGCAAAGAAAAAGGGCAAGTGCGATTTCGTTCTTGCTACATCTTCTACCCTGTATTGGACCTTTCAAAACCAGAATATCCGATCTGACTTCTCTCATTCAGTCTTTTCCAGATTATTTGGGGGTCATCTGAAAGCCTGGGGAGGCCCTGGTGAGCTTCCCCAATACGGGTGAGAAAGTCTGTCGTATGCAGATGCTCATCAATTTTCTCCTGGAGTAGAAGTGACTCCAGGAAAGTCTTCTTCTGTCTCAGGAAGGTGGACTGGGCCAGCTCTGCTCTTTTCTTGTTACAGCTGGGACACTGAGAGGGTACGTGTTGCTTAGCTGACCGCATTTGCTCCGGTGCTGTCCGCATGTTTTTAAAGTAGATTCTGTTGAAAAGCTCCGCAGGGATGGTACAGTTTAGGGGCTCGCTCTCCGAGGTCCCTGCAGCCGGCCTCTTGCTCTGCTTTTGATGTCTGCAGCTTTGTCCCTCCTGAGACTGCACTCTGCGATGGAGCAGGTTTACCTTACCGGTGCAGAAGGACTGGAGGGCGCGCAGGTCCTTATCAAACACCTGCGCGATTCGCGCGTCGAGGTCGGCGTCCAGCTGGTACCGTCCGGGGCGAGTTTCTCTGCGCTGGAGGTGGGTCATCCGTTTCTCATTCCACTTCTCATTTCCGAAGCCTGAGAGCTGGGGTGGTCTGTCTCGCCGTTCCAAGCCTGTGGTTTGCCCTCCGCTCCCCCGCGGGCTCCCGGGGCCTGGGGGCCAGGACCGCGGCTCTGCGGGGCTCAACGACCCGGCAGGGCCCCGGTCAGTGAAAGGCGCGCGGGACCGCTCCGACGGACCCGCAAAGCCGCGCTCCGACGGCCCCGCCATGGCACTGCGTTTGGGCCGGCGATTCCCCTTCTCGTCCTTCACCGCGCCCCGGGCAGACGGCCGTCACGCTGCAGCGCGCTCGGCTCCTCTCCCGCTTCCCGCCGGTAACGACGCACCCAGGTTGGCGAGGGCAGAGCCCACAGCCGGGGCGGCCCGCACTTCCGCGCCGCGACTTTCCCGCAACGCCGGGCCGCTGCCCTGGCAACACCTCGGCCACGTGGCCCCGCCCTCCCCGGCCGCCTCGCGCCCACTGCGCCTGCGCCTGTCCTGGGCCTGGTTGCCGCCTTCTCAGCAGCCGCCCTCCTATACGCCCGCCCCGCTCCCGCTGAGGCTGGGCCTGCACCTAAGCCCTGTGGCAGTAAGTTCTGCTCCTGAGTTCAGATCTTCTGAGTGCAGAGCTTTTTTTTTTTATTAAATATTTTATTCTTTTTTCTTTTTTTCTTTTATTTACTTATTAATTTATTTACATTTAATCACGTTTTTACAGTGTACAACATTTCTTTTTCCAGCACAAATACCATACATATCAATAAAGACAAAATACATTACTATATCCATTATCATCAGGAAATAGCTTCCATTTTTTCTCAATTAAGCATACTTTTACTTGTTTTTTCCTTCCTCTTCCCACTCCCTTTCTTCCATACTAAACTTTTTTTTCACATTTTATTGATTCACAAAATATCTTAAACTAAAAGTATGGACAAAGCTATAAACTAGTGACCAGTGCACTGTAATTTCCTTCTGAAATGTTTTTCCTGTCTCTATTCCCCTTTTACTAAAGAGAGGTATGAACTAACTTATCTGCAAAAAAATGAGGTTAATCTCAATTTGGTCTGTTATTTGCACAAAGCCCCATAAGAATTCAATTTCTGGGGACCAGAAGTTGGCGTAATGGCAATGTTGCTGGACTCCCATGTAGTCGACCACAGTTCAAGTCCCGGACCCGGTAGCTTAAACTCACGCCAGGCATGTGTGAGTATGTGCCCAAGCTTTTGAGAGGAGAATGGAGGAGAAGGGATTATGGCATGGCCATTCCCCTGGGGGGAGGGAGGGGGCGTGATTTCTCACTTTCTGTCTCTCTGTCTCTTTCTGTCTTTCTGGCAAGTGCATGCTCCCTATAACAAAAACCTCTTTTAAAAAATCGATTTCTGATACAACACAACAGATACTATTGTATTATTGAATTTATGCAAATAACCATCCTGTCACAAAATGATAATGTTCACATATATTTTCCAATTGTAAAGGGGTTCGAAGAGAGAAAAGTTTGTTTCAACTTTTTAAAAATTAACCAATTGCTGAACGTATCAACAATTCACAAAAGAATCGAAATCCTTAAATCTGAAAGGCAAAGCATAAAAAAAAATCAGTAATGTTTTCGACAAAAGTCATAGAATTCTATTTCACCAATTCAGTCGCATGTAATCTCTCTTTTGTTGAATTTGCAGTGTTACTGTGGTCTGATTTTTCTGTTTAAATTCTGGAAAGTAACATTCAACATTATTATTGATAGCTCAAAACTCCTCCCTATCATTAAGCTGGACTTTTTCTTGGTCATCGTTGTTCTCTTATTTCTGTCTGCCTTTAGTTTTCCTGTATAGCACTCTCTTCAGAACTTCTAGAAGAGCTGGTGTGGTGTTGGTAAATTCTTTAAGGTTTTGTTTATCTGAGACTGTTTCCAGCTTTTCTTCCCATTTGAAGGATAATCTTGTCAGATACAGTATTCTTGGCTGAAATTATTTTTCACTTAATACCTTGGATATATTTTCCCATTCTTTCCTTGCTTGCATTGTTTCCTACGAGAGGTCTACTGTTAGCCTGATGGGCTATCCTTTGAAAGTAACTTGACATATCTGTCTTGCCAATTTTAGTATCTCACCTCTGTCTTTGGTTTTGGTCAATCTGACTATGATGTGCCTTGGAGAAGATCTTAGATTGATTCTATGTGGGGTCCTTTGTATTTCTTGGGACTAGAATTTGAACGCCTCTCTAGGTTCGAAAAATTTTCTTCCAGGATTCCATGAAATAGATTATCAATGTCCTTAGTTTTTTCACCTTCTGGGATACTGATTATCCAGATGTTTGGATGTTTCATGGTATTTAGTATTACTCATATATTATTCTCATTTTGGGAGTTATTTTCTCAGTCTTTTGGTGAATTTTTCTCAGTTAGAGATTCTATCTTCTACAGCTGAGATTCGATCTCCTGCATGTTCTGATCTGCTTTTAATACTTTCAAGGGAGGTTTTGATTTTCTGTATTAAGCTTTCATCTCTAATAGTATTATTTAATTTTTCTTTATGATATCTATTTCCTCTTTCCAACCAGGCAAGAATTTTCACACCTCCTGAAACTCATTGTCTCTTTTCTCCTGCATCTTCTGGAGTTCATTGTCTCTCTTCTCTTGCATCTCTATTAGCTTTATCACTATGAATATTCTAAATTCTTTATCTGACATTTTCACAAGTTCTATTGTACTGTCTGTGGAAGGGCTGTTCTTTCCTCTTGGAGGAGATATATTTTCTTGGTTTCCCATATTTCTTGTGCTTCCACAGTGATTTCTGGTCATCTAATAATGGATTATGCATCACTCCCTACTTTCTGAGTGTTAGAGGTGTGCGGGAAGAGATTACCTACAATATTTCTGCAGTTCCGTTTCCCTGATCCTCATCAAGCAACCTGTACTTTTGTCGATGGAACTGGGTATTAAAAAGGCCTCACAGTTTCTAGAGAATAGGTGCACCAGAGCTGAGCTGTGGGGTTTCAACTAAGAACTCAGAGATGTGTGGAAGGAGATGAGCTGTGTGCTCTGCAGCTCTGGGTATCTCCCTGCTGCTCAATTTGCAGTCTCTCTTCTCTGATTTTCAGTCATTTGCTGGTTTATTCACATTTGGCTAATTTGTTGGAGATTTCTGCTACTGTTAATTTATATGCATCACTTAACTGTGAGATACTTCTATGCCAATTTTGCCTCTACTACTGTGTTTTGCAACATAATAACCACAGAAAGAGATCTGAATTCAGATTTATGAAGTCAAGTTTCTCCCTTTCTGTAGCAATTCTGTGGGAGTTGAGGTTTTCTACGGCCATAAAAGTATTCAGATGTTTTGCTACTCTGCACCTACACCTGACCAAACACTCAAAGTGTGGAAATATGCTTCGCTAGGAGTTGAGCCGGAAGAGTCCGGAGCTTTTTATAATAGCACTGGAGAGGAGACTGTGAGCACGGATGTTTCCGTTACCAGAAGAGTGGAACATATGCGAGCACATGAAGATAGAAGTTCTGTGGCAGATTGGGAAGGGTATGCTCTGCCTAAATGCAGCCAGGTTTTAAAACAATAAAACCAAGCTGGCTAAGATGCACAAGCCAAAGCTTGTCACTTGGCTTGCAGGCTGAAGGCTGCCTGTTTGTAGATCGAGTCTCAGGATGAAAATCAGATACTGAAACCATTCTGTTAAAAACCTCAGCACGACTTCCAGCATTCTGACAGCCTCACGGTTCTCCCAAGTCTGTTTCCCAGTCCTTATAGGGACAGGCAACCCCTGACTGGCACATCAACAAGCCCTCCTCACTGTGTGTATGTAGCTCTTATACCCCTGAGTCCCATTTCTTACCCATCCTGTGCCCAAACACATTCCAGCCTTTCTTTCATGGTTCCCGGTGATGTGTTTATAGGAGTGTTTGACAACAAAGGGAAAACCATGGTAGAGTTTCCAACTAGCAATCAGCACATGCATCGTAGGTATTCAGCACATCTCTGTGAATGACATGAAGGGCTGTGTAAACAGAAATACGTACTACCTCACATGGACCTGATGGGGTTTATGGAATAAATACTACCAGTTCAGGGAAATCTAAGCTTCTTTTTTCCTTCCTGAGATAATACACATAAGTATTGCCCATAATATCCTTTTATAACAAGCCTTTGAAAATCACGATAGAATTTAGTTATGGTTCTGGGACAAGCAGTTAGTATAATATCTATGTCGCGGAATTCCTGCATAGTCGACCGCAGTTCAAGCCCTGGACCCGGTGGCTTAAATTAATGCTGGGTGCATGTGTGTGCATGCCATTCCCCCTGGGGGGTGATTTCTCACTTTCTGCCTCTCTGTCTCTCTCTTTCTGGTGAGCACACATGCCCTATAGCAAAAACCTCTACAAAAAAAAAAAAGAAAAAAGAATTTAGTTATAGTTCTCAAAAATTATAAAATGTTAACTCTGGAGATAGACATTTTCTAGGTCTCAGTTAACGAGTTTAGGTCTTAGTCAATATTTGAGATAATTTCAAGAGAATGGCTCCACTCTTAGTCCTCCCCCTCCCCATTCTCCCTAGTATTATTCAGGTCTACCAAGATATATTTAATATTATTCTCCAAATGTTCACTTTGATAAAGAGTCAAAAGTCTAGAATATCCAATAAGCATCTCTCAAATATGAACCAGATTTATATTGAAGATGAGTAGATCTTAACTTCATTTATTCAACCCAAATTATATTCTATCATATAAAAAAGAGATCATTTGTACATAGCTCCAAGATTTTCATTTTTCATTTTTATTCCAAACCTCTTCCTTATGTTCTGTACATTTGCACAGTCGTATTTACGAATATTTTATTATACCACGATTTTCCCATAACACTGCATAAAGGAAATGTACCTTCCAGTCTATTATTATCAGCCACCCCATGGCACAGTTGCTTGAACGTGGTGCTTTGGGAGCTGGGTCCTCCGTGGCCTACTGCATTTCAGCAAGGTGCTCTGGGGGACACACCAGGCAGGTGTGCAAGTGTGCCCTCAGACCTGGCAGGATGCAGAAATGGAGAAAGGAAGATTGCAGCATGGCCCATTGAGGAGTGCTCTACTGCTATCTCTCTCTGTCTCTGTCTCTCTCTCTCTTCCCCCCTCCCTCTTCCCCCTTTCTCTCCCTCTCTCTCTCTTTCTGAAGTGTACATGTCATCTAGCAATTAGAGAAAAAAAATTAAATAAAATATACTT